GATTGCAATGAAATTGATAAACCCATGGAGTGATGCGCTTTAGGCACACTATGGGCACGCTTTTTCTCAAAGTGACCTGATTGGTAGAATTTTTTTTTCTTTACTCAAAAATGATTTTAGTGTATTTTAAATGTGGGTTAAAACTGGCCAAACCCAAATGGCCCACTTATCACATTTTTAAATCTGGGCCAAATACTACGCTTTTCATCTGGCCCAAATCTTGTGTGCCGCCTTAAAGACAGTGCCACCTCTGCCAAACCCGGGCCATGTTTGGCCCACATGCTGTATGCCAGTGCCGGATGAATGCCTGCTGTGCCAGCTTTAAGCCAAATCTGGGCCAGAATTCTTTGCTACTACGGTAAATTCAGTATTGTTGTTACAGATTAAACATAAACGTGATTTAAATATTTTCCAGTTGGTTAGATAGTAAACAGTCATACAAACATTTTTACTGAAGCCTCTTGACGGTTGGTCTCACGGGTCCGTCATGTTTGTAGTTTATTTACACTTTTCATCCGTGTTTATAGTTTTAATCGAATTCACATCCAACAAAAGGACGTTGATAATAGTAAAAAAAAATTTGTCACTAAGGCCCAATCCCAATTCTAATCCTTAGCCCTTCCCCTTACCCCTACAGTAGTTTTGCTCGTTCCCGTGAAGGGGTAGGGGTGTCCCAATTCTCTTTAGCTTGAAGGCGTAGGGCTAAGAGGAAGGGGTAGATAGCTCTTCGAATGGAGATTTTTCAGGACCACACTCGAAGCCAAGGGGTAAGAAAATTTCCCAGAGTACCACAAATCCACAAATTATCATTATTTTTGTCATTATTACAAATTTTTACAACAAACAAGCACATGTTTCAATACATTCTTAACCGCGTTCGTGTTTTACCTTCATGCTTTACATAAAACGCTAAAATTAATCAGCAAAATTTTTGCAATCTATAATCCCTAATTCCCTGAGTCCCCTGTCAGAAAAATCTAGTGGCTGAGAATGACCGTTTTACAGTGTCTGCTATAATATTAATATTGTTTTAGTTTGTTTACATAAATGAATATGGCCCCTGTGTAGAAAGCGGGACAGTTTCGATTTTATTGCCACATTATATCGGTATGATAACTTAATATATGCCTTCAGTAATTTCCTGAAAATAAATACCAAAAAATCAGACAACTGATATAACTACAGCAGTCGCCATCATCTGATCTTATATGAAGCAAGAGCTCGTGATGACATGATGACGTGTGCAGGTGCTGTAGTGCTGTCCCAATTCTTAGGGGTAAATTATGAAGCCCTCTCCTTCACACTCAGTTTTAAGGGCCAAGGGGAAGGACTAGGGGTAGGGATACAAAAATAGAATTGGGATTGGGCCTAAATATACTAGGGCGGCCGTTAATATACCCGCCCAAGTAAAGTCTATGTGTGAAAAGCACTGCAGTTTACATTGTGCACTCCTAAGCGTGTCTAAAAACATGGCAGAACTCAACTCACCATTATATAAATTCCCATAGGCTTTTTACTGTGTATTGCACAGGTAGTTTGCACAGGTATTTAAAAAACACACACATTAACTAATGAACAAAAGGAACAGAAAGTTTTCAGTTTGAAGCTGAAATTGGAGTTGCGTAAAAACCCATTAACAGTCAACAAATGATGATCAATCAATGGCTCTAAAAATTATATATATATATATTTCTTTAATTTCCATCAGATTGTCCTAGCATAAAAGAACTGCTTCAACGTCACTGTCTGGATACACATCTATTTCCATATTGTTTCATTTCATTTCTGTGGAACCAGCCATAAAAACATATAATGCAAATCACCTACTGCAGTAATCATTGCCTGCTTTATAAGTGAGCTACAAATGAAGCCAAAATCAAAATGACTTAAAAAAATTTGTGTTGACAAGCACTCAGTGCGGAGCTCTAATGCCTCCATATAGTCCAGTGCATCAGGGAACACTGAGGCGAGTCATTTAGCTTGAGAGGGAAGAAGAGCTGAATATCTCAGTAGGGCTAAAGCACTTGGTCTCCTCAGGGTGTAGTGTCTCAGCGCTTTACACGAGAGGTGAGAGCTCTTCTCTGACATCTCCATCCCAGATGACACAGCTCCCAGCATGCCTCAGGGCACCAGGACTCGCTATCAGAGCAGCACACATCACTCAACACGCAGAGAGCAGAATTTCTGCATAGCAAATTATTTATCAGAAAGGTCAATGAGGAGGACAAAAAAACTAAAAATACAGTGGAGATGTGGCTCTTAAAGCATTTGGATTTTTGCGCATTGCATTAGATATAATATAAATGATATTTATTTTAAATAAAGATGACATGACTATTTCTATTATTATGAAAGAGCTAGATATACTGATAATAATAATAATAGAAAAAAATATTATAAAAATAAACAACAATTCGTAACTTTCTGATTTTTTTGGCTAATTCGAATGAATTTGTACGATTTGATTCATACATTTTAGTACAATTTGCAAATCCTTCAATGATATTTGGGTTTAAGGGTGAGATATAGTGTTTCGCCTCAGTTTAAAAATCACACATCTTTGCATAACAATGAATTTGTACCAATTATGCTGAGGTAAAACTAGTTTTACATGCGAAATTCTGTTGTTTGGCACTACGAAAAGAGGTGGGATTAAACGAGATGATTAGACATATAGTTCATACAGTTGAAGTCAGAATTATTAACCCCCCTTTGATTATTTTTTCTTTTTTAAGTATTTCCCAAATTATGTTTAATAGAGCAAGGACATTTTCACAGTCTGATAAAAAAACAAAAAAAAACATTTCTTCTGGAGAAAGTCATGTTTGTTTCATTTCGGCAAGAATTATAAAAAAATAAACAAAATTATTAGCCCCTTTAAGTTATATATATTTTTTGATTGTCTACAGAACAAACCATCGTTATACAATAAGTTGCCTAATTACCCTAACCTGCCTAGTTAACCTAATTAAGCCTTTAAATGTCACTTTAGGCTGTATAGAAGTGTCATGAAAAATATCTAGTCAATATTATTTACGGTTTATTTGAGTTATTAAACTATGTTTAGAAATGTGTTGAAAAAAAAATCTTCTCTCCGTTAAACAGAAATTGGGGGAAAAAAATAAGGGGGGCTAATAATTATGACTTCAACTGTATATTAAATTTCTGTCTAGAGAGGTCATGTTTAGATCTTTGATTGGTCTCACGCAAATCATGTGATGCTATTTCGCAGGTCAGAGTTCACCACGTTTGAACTTGAACGGCAAAACTTGATACACAAGCTTGCGGTTTCGGTCTGACGCATTCGCATGCATATGGAAGTATTTTAGCTTGACTCAGGGCCAGCCATGTCAATCATATGCGCGTGATCCTCTCGAAATTAGTTTATAAACAAACTTCACTTAGAAATGTGTTGAAAAGATCTCTCGGTTAAACAGAACTTGGGGAAAAAATAAACAGTGGGGCTAATAATTCTGACTTCAGAATCTTCAAAAAAAATCTGCTATATCTTGGATGTGTAACGTGACAGCAATTTTCAACTGTTTGTATGTGTGCTAAAGTGGAATTGAATAATAAAGACCAAAAACCACAAGTAACATAAATTGAACATTTTATTTGTGGAAAAAGAACACAAGCAAAATGCATCAATAGACATTTCTACTGGAAGCAAGGGAAATGATAAAGAAGCCTCTAAAAGCAAAAAAGTCGTGCACATGCCAGAAGTCTGTTGAATGTTAGCTTAATTTCAGCTATAGACAAGGAGCAGATCAATAAAATTAAAAAAAAAGAAAATAAGAGGTCAGCAAAATGTACAAGTGAAATTATTGAGCTCCACACAAAATTTACCAACAACAGCAACTAGCAAGAAAACGAAAACAAGAAAACTCTTACTGACGAAATTAAAAAGTTGCGAAAGAAAACTGTGAAAGCATTTGTACAAGACAAAATAAAAGGATCCAAGACTATACAGGTACACTGAAATCACACAAGGTTAACGCTATTGCATATGTAAACAAGCATTCTATATTTGGGTTTTGACAAACAAAGCTAAAAAAAATCAAAACAAAAAAAGTGTAACCATCTTTACACAGTAAATTAAGGTTACTGGTCGTACACAAGAACAGAACTGCTTGCGCGTAAAAAGAAAAGAAAACGTTTAGCTCCATTGCCGTTCATAGCCTATTATGTTGGCTTTTGCACCGTTTCGAGACATACATAAGCACAGTTTAAATTCATCAATTGTTTTATTCCCCCTCAAATTTAAATAAATTAAAATACAATTCATTGTTATTTTCTTATCCTTTACAATTTTACAAAATTCAGATTACCATTTCTGACAGCGGATAAGGCAAGTGAAAGAATGGCTATAGTCATACATTTTACGAAATGTGTTAAGCTATACATTGTAAATTCAACGACTTCGCAGGGGTTAAAATGTCTTGATAATGAGAATAATTACAACCCCATCGATCTGTGATTGGTCAAACATCCCCCGTTCTAGTCATTACGTTGCATACTTCCGAGAAAAAATAATGATTTTTACAAATAGTGTCTATATTGAATTGCACCGATATAAACTGGGTCAGAAAGCAAAATCAATAGCAATACAACTTAAATGCTTCCTATCCAACAATCAATACCGGTTTGGTTGGTTAACATCACAAATACATAAACAAGACACACGGTTACGCTCTCGAAACAACCCAGCGAAGCCTTCATTTATACATGACGCTTATTATTAATCCTCACACTCCAGTCTAATCTGAATGGTTTGTTAACAGAAGCAGAGCAAAGTTGTCCATTTATCACTTCATATCAAAACATACAAAAGATTAAAAGGAGGGGAAAAACAGCTTGATGGGATTTGACTGTAATACCAGAATGAAAACGCAGCACTGCTAACAGAATCTGTGTTAATCGCCCTTACAGGTCTGACTCCAATGTCTATGAATTTACAAGTATCTTCTGCATATATCAAGAGGACAAGTACACATTTGAAATGGATTATATTAGACTTTATTAAAATGTTATATCACACATATGGTAATTACATTTTGAATTATTCATTTGCCTAGCATGTCATCAATATCAAATTCCTTTGGTCCTTCAATAAATAAAACTCATATCATATACACATACTTTGTACAAGTTTAATACAGTTCAAAAGGGAAGATAGGCTGACTTTTAGATTTGTGAGAGCGTCAGCATGACATCTTGAGTTTTTTATAGTGGGAATATTGCGTGAAATCATGCTTGTGTCATTTTTCTTTTGGTTGACACCGAAGTAAACAAATGGGAAAATGTTAGTAGTGAATGCTGAGAGAGAGTTCATATGCATTCAACTCAAGTCTCAAGTTTGATTTCTATCGACGGGTCTTGTTTTAGTAAATCTGGTGTGATCATTTAAAAATAATATGGGGGGAAAAGGAAAAAAAGTTTGTCTTCAGATTAAAACGAGGCCAAGTAAAAGCCCTAACCTTAAAATAGTCTCTTTCAATCAAAAACGACTAGAAAAGGCAAAAGTAGTTCTTCAACAATAAAGGTCTACAGACCTTTGAGATGTCCAAACCCTTGTAGTGTTTTTACAATACATCACACTGTATGTAGACCATAAAGGACAACAAAAAGCTGTCGAAGAAAATGTTTCCGATACAATTTGCGAGTTAAGTCAAGTGAGCGTTACGAAAGCTCCGTTCCGGATGTTCAAATCCAAAGCTCACATCATGCTCGCAGTGTTTCCTTGCAGGTTTGTCAATCCCAGCTGTCTTCTCCATTGCACAACGGATCAATCCGTTTAGTTCATCGACAAAAGCAGACGTTGGGACCCCCAGTGCACACATGTTCTGATAAGTCTTGCAAAATGGACAAAAAATAAATCCCAAAACAAAGCGACTGAAGAATGTAGTGTTGACACCAGGACACGGATATTTCCATCGTTTTCAAAAGCAGAGGGATCTGTTTCAATGGTGTGAACGTCAGTCTGAGGACTGAATCCAATTCACAGTGAATCTAGCACCATTGTGGGAAGTTTCTCAGGAATCTTCTGCAGAATTGGTTCAACACTAAAGGGGAGCCATCAGTAGGAGCTACTCAAGTCGAGGGAAACTTCAAGAGAGAGAAAAGTAGAATCTCTCAAAGTTGAAGCATAATAAATAAGAGCAAGAATGGTCCAGAATAGTTGGTGGTTATTGTGCACAGCGGACATTTACATATATAGAATTTTTTTTTTACAAAAGAAAAAAAAAAAAAGGTTGAGTTGATTCAGCTGCACATCCACGTACAAATATAAAACAATACGCACAAAGTGGGATGTCTCCAGTAAGGGAAAGGAGGGACAGTTTGATCAATGGCCTAAAGCCATGGTCCAACTGATCACAGAAATGAAACGTTCCTCTTTCAGTCATAGAAAGGAATACGAGTTGGCTCAGGGCAAGGTGATGGGGAAAATGGGGGCAAAGTACATCCCTGCTGTATGGACAGAGCTCAGAATGACTCATCGTGCCCGAGCGAGAGGTCTCCCTTTGGGGTCGATGCACGGGATGAGCCCTTGTCCATGCTTTCGGAGCCGGAGCTCTGGTGCTGCTGTTCAGAGCTGGCGCTGGAGGTCACTGTGGAGGACGAGGTGGAGGAGGTGCGGGTCTTCTCCTTAAAGTCTGTTATGATCACCGTGACGTTCCCCACCGTGATGGCCAGCTGTTGGGCTGTGCTCCTGTCAATGTTCTTCAGCTTGGGCCTGCGGATGCAGAGAGAGAGATTTTCAGTCAAGTATGACTGTGACAGTTCAAAATAGGTCAGTCTTAAATTTAGGACTCCTAAACTTTTACTCAAAGTATTTCGCAGATCATTCCAGCAATAAAAAAAAGACTTGCTCCAGTAAAATGTTAGAAGTAGTGAAGAGTACTCCTAAATCCAAACAACAGAACTATCCTAAGACGGCTATTGCTGGCAGTGTGCCTTGAAAGAAAACTTTTTAAAAACATTTGAACACAGTGAAGTTTACCAGGAAGTTATTTTTACACTTTTTTTTTTACACAAAACAAAAAATATTTTATGCAAATACATTTATTATGCAAATATCTCCTATAAATACAAGTTTAGCAATTATATATATATATATATATATATATATATATATATATATATATATATATATATATATATATATATATATATATATATATATATATAGCATTTAAAAATAAAATTGCTTAATTTTCAAAGAAAATACATTTACTTATAGCAATTGAAGAAAATCTTTATTTGGTGTCTTTAGCATTAAAAAAAAGGAACATACATTTAGAACTCACCCGGCCTGCATTTTAAAATCTTTTAATATTTAACTATATTATTATACTATACTCTATAATCTTTATAATAATATTGCACTCCACAAAGTTTCCATTTGACAAGAGACACCTTCCTTCCCCATCAGCCAATCACTTTGTGATTTCTAGAATTGCCGACATCAACAGCAACAAAGTCAATCATGCCCTGACTCCCAGCTTAAGATTGCTCTCTTTACCCAAGTAAATAAATGATTTGAATAGTTGAGTAGGGATGAATAGTTTCTTTCTTACACTTTTACTGCAATTTAGGAGAACTAAAACAAACATGTTTAGTGAATATGGGTCTGGATTATTCGAGCCCATTTTCAAAACATCAATGCATAATTAAAAAAGGAAAAAATGCATCCAAGATATTATTTTTCAAGTGAAAAAGCGAAGTGTACATTTTATCTGTAGATTATCAATAAAACAAGAAACTCAATTTGCTGAGAGAGGTGTTAGAAACAATATTTAACCAAAGAAATTGGTAAAAAAGGGTGCTTTCACATGTGGTCCAAATGCCTGGTCTGGATCAAAGTTTGATAGTACACCCTCGGCTGGTTTGTGTTCCCACTGTCTTTTTTCCTTCTGAACCCTGGCAAAGAGCAAAGAATCCCCAAGAGGTGACACTCTAGTGCGATTTTGGAAACAGCCACTAGATGGTGCGGCAGCCATTTTGGAATCAGAATTTTAATAGAACAACAGCATATTAGAAGTCTGTAAAATTGTGATGAATGTGATAGTAAGTGTTGTACTGTCGTCTTTCAGGTTTTATCTCAGCTTTAATGCACTTTTTAAATAAATAAAAAACAAAGCAGCTGCTCGCCATCACGACTGCAATAAGATCCAATGGACAGCCGATCGCTTTCACTCCGAAAATGGAGGAATCCGGGGTTGTTGCTGGGCGCTACTGTTGCATTGGAACGTTCTATTGAGTGTCGCCTCTTGGTGATTCTAAGCTCGTAGACCCCGGTACGCTTGCGTTATCAAGCTGCTGTTTTGTGTACAGCTGTTGCTACGTGACGGCCACAAAAGCAAAGCATCAAAATAGAGACATATCAGAAGTGAACCGTACCTCAGACGACCTCTTTTGGGCAGACTCGAGTACAGTTCGTGTGTGCGCACCAGAGTTCAGAGGAAAGCGTTCACACTAGCTAAACGTACAGCACTCTGACATCAAACGAACCCGGGTGTAGACTAAAAGTGCTATAGTGAAAATACCCTTAGCGTGTAAGTCAAAGAGTTATTATTACTTACTAACTTTATTTTGTAGTACAGCTCCAAATCAGCTTATTAGAAAGATTTATTATTATTATTATTATTATTATTATTATTATTATTATTATCAATAATAAAATGTGACATGACACAGATTACTTTTGTTTATATTTTGAATATATAGTAAGATAACTGGGGGCATGACCTGCATTTCACCTTTGGCAGTATTTGCATGGTTTGGATTTAAATATTGAAAAGGAGAGGGGTAAGGTCGTTGCATGCAAACCATGTTAAGGGGAGAAACATCAAGAAGAGTCCACCCACACAGACCTTTAAAAAAAACTAACGTAGCTATATGCTTTACTCTCTACAAAGTAACAAAAAAAAGTTACTTTACTAGATGATTTTGAGAGCAAATAAGGCCAAATTTATCTTTTAAAAACAGCCAAGAAGAAAAAGAGATTAATAAAGATCAGCAAGATTAACACAGAACGGCATACATTTTAATAGTTAAACATCACTATAACTGACATTTACACAAAAAGCCTGATAGAAAATCTTTTAAAAACTGAGACATGTTTCAGGGTTGTGTGCATGGCAAAAGCACAAAGCTAAATCTCATTGATTGGCATTAGCCTCAGTTGTTAGTATGCCTTCAAGACAATGTGACACAATGAGCTGTGCTGGCAGAAGCAGACAGAAACAGAATGGTGGGACGGCAGCCAACAGGGCGTGTGTGGGAGTAAAACTGTGCTGCTCATTTGAGATCAGCCCACGACTCGCTCATTCAGAGGGAAAGACGCAGACAGACAGAGACAGAGTAGAGAGAGAGTGAGAGAGAGAGAGAAATAGGCATGTGTGAATCAGAGAGGTTTCTAAAGTGTCTTTCGCCACTGCTGTCTGCCAGCTTTGTTCACTGTCAGAGTGACATTCAACACATTCTCAAGCCAGATATGCAGCGGCATGTATTATTCTTATTACACATCTGTTATTTTCACCATTAAAAAGTAGAATTAAACACCTTTATAGAAACATAGCATTGTCTAGTGCTAACAAAAGTGCTTTAGATATCAGCATCTGATTTGGTAACAAGTTCTTTAAAGGTGCTGTTTGCATGTTTTTGACTCATCTAAAGCATAAAAACATCATAATATGTTTGCAAATATTTAAGAAAAATGCCACGTGAGCATTCTTGTTTATCTGAAAAACAATGCTGAAGTCAGATATTTTGCTTTAAAAAATGTGAGTTGCGTGCCAAAATGTCTGTCTTTTTTTAACATTTAACCCACCCGGTGCCAGTTTAGCCATTTGTATTTCAGCACAGCAGGTTGCATTGGTGGAAAACAGCGTATTTCATTCATTCAGTCGAAAAGATTCTTAAAGTATGCGTCTTTGACCAAAAAGCAACCTTCGGTGGACAGTAGCAGACTCCGAAATGAGATTCAGAGTTCCACATGACGTTATTAATTAGGAAATAATATAAATATTAGAAATGTAAACATTAGGTGAAATACAACGAGATTTGCAGTGAAAAGTAATCTGACGAAACATGACAGAACTTTATATACAGCCATTCAGAAGCACAGATTAGTGCACTTACTGCACTCCAATGAAATGGTAAGGTTTATAATCTAATTAATAACATATTAAACCTCTTTAACAATATTCAATATACATGCTAAATGACCGATATGGGTTGGTTTGCATTATTTCACAGTCCTAAAGTTTAATTATTTTACAAGGTTTATTTTATTTTGAAGACCTGAGGTGAACTATCTGCTGCTGCTTTCAGTAGTTTGGCAGTAAATGCCATGTGAAATGGCATTCAAATTCACATTATCAGCATTTACCACTAAATAAAAGCACATGAGGTGTACCTGAGGTAATTATTGTCAGTTTTCTGTTGTTTAGCTGCATGAAATAGAAACAATTTCTAAAATACAAATTTCGGGTGTTGGTTAAGACAAAAACTCTTTTCTTAAAAAATAGAAAATATTCCTTCTAGCGCGTGCCATTGCTTTAGAACATGGTTTAAATCAGCCTTTAGGCTCGGCAATCAGGCACACTGCTATTGGTGTCATCAATCTGGTTACCTGCTCTTGTGCACGTTTTGAACCAGGTGTGTAATACCTAGTTTAACCACTGGGTGTCAAACTTAAATATTGCATTGTTAAATGACAAATAATAGAACAGAAACCTGTGAAAGCAATAATTTTCAGCAGCCATTACTCTTGCGCTTAGATGATGCTTCAGAAATCAATTTGACATGCATATTTGATGCTTTCAACATTTCACAACATTTTTAATGTCTTTTACAAGTATTACGTTTTTGGTTGATTGGCAAGTTTTATTAGGATAGAAGGGAATTTATAGGGAAAGCTTTCTACAATATTAGCTCAACTGAATGGAAACTGCAAACAATAATATTTCACTGTATCACCAGCCACATACATTGACGAAGAAAGAAAGATCAGTCAAATCGCAACATTTGCCATGTATTGAACATGGTTTCTGTCAATAAAGTAGATTTATCATTGCCATAAAAGGAGTGGCATTTGGCATACTTGGCTGCTTTATGATCAAATTACAAAGATAAAAGGTGAGATACCTGGAGTTGTGGGAGTTCTTGGTCTTGGTTGTGGACTTGCCAGACTGTATGCTGTTTCGTTCACTGGGTGGGCTTTGATGGATGTCTGATTTGGGCCTGTAAGGAAAAACTCTTCAGGTTACACAAGCCATAAATCAGAAGATTCTCAGATTCTTACTAGTGACTAACAGACCTGTTCTTCTTGCTGTTGGGTTTCTTGGTGATGGCTGGGATAATTTCTTTCTCTCTGTCCTTCTTCTCTTTTTCGGGCTGCTCCTTTTCGCTCTTTTCCTTGTCCCTCTGTTCAACGGGGTGTTCATCGGGTGGATTTATGTCAGGACGCTCCTCTTCAGCCCGATCTTTCTCAGGCCTCTCGGGCTTCTCCTTCTTCTCTTTCTTTGGCGGAGGAGGGGTGGCATATTGCTGAGCCACCTGCTGTGCCACCAGCTGAGAGTTTATCCGGGGTTTCCTGTGGGGCCCAACAATAGTTGATAGTCAGAATCAGTGTGCCACTAAATCCGTCTTAACCGACAGAGTAAACTCTTTAGTGACCTGCTGAGCCTGGTGGTTTTGGCCAAGTGCAAGTTCACCATCTAAAGCCTGAAGCACAATTATGACCCATTTCAGATAAACGTTATGGGGTTCTAACACAATATAATCACAGTTCCCCTTAGGTGTCCCACATTTATAGGGCAAAATAAACTGCGTACAGTAATACCCTAATGTACAACAAAACATTGTATAGAAATTAACTCTGACCAGATATTAAAATACATTTTTTTTAGGAGTTAAAGCTGCAAAACCTAAAAATTTGTAATACAAATGAACAAAATGCATCAAGTTATTTCATAAAAATTAGGGCCGGGCGATATTGCAAACATTTTTTTTACAAAATCCCTGGATATTGATAATTATTGAATATTTTTTAACAATACATTTAGGAATATTAGATTTTTTTTTGTTATTTAAGCACTTTATTTTAATAACAACATTACTAAGGCATATAGTCTTAATAGTCAAAAACAAAAATATTTAAACAAAATATCTCATCTCTTTTTAATAAAAAGTGTTAAAGAGATTCTTATATTTAAATAAATGTAACAAATTGTGTGCAAGGGTAAAGGTAGATCAACATCTGTAAGATGTCAATAATAATGACACAGTAAACCTCAAACTCCATAAATAAAACAAATTATGACAATCAAATCTGAGCAGCCCTGGCATCTCTCGGAACTAAGCAACCATCAAGCGTTTTCGCAGAGGATGACAAACTGACATCCATTGCTGCAGCTCCGATGCTAAAAAGCGCTGCAGTGTTTGTCTGAGGTAATTAGTCTGCCGTTACTGAAATGTATATATTCCATACAAAGTGTAAAGCAGATTGGTTAGTTTTACTTCAGCTCAGCAGCCACATTTTAATAAAACTATAGTGCTTCATTCTGAAACTTCATAACGAATCTTTTTTAATCGATATTGACAATGGTGTTCGGTCAATAAATATCGATACCAATTTTATCAGCCAGCCCTAATAAAAATTATCATATAAATAAAAATTTCAAATATTTACATTTTTACCACTAATGTTCATAATAAATACAATAATAATTTTTAATGTACGACAAAACTTGCTAGAAATGTTACTAAATCTAGAACAGATGAAACATTGCTTAACAACTGGAAAATAGTCAGATTTACAGCCCAAACCAACATTAAAATAAATAAAACACACAAGTAAGATCTGAGGGACCATTCATGTAGCAAAAACAAGTCAGACCAAGTTGCAGCGCAAAGGGATAAATCACAAAGCTAATTACAAAAATGAAGAACAGTTACATCAAGCACCACTTTCTAGAATGATATCCAGTACCAAAACACATCTGCATGTAATCCACCTCAGCCAGTGTTTGCACAAGACCACTTTACAGCACAAATGCTGTGGATTGTGGTGAAGACATCAAGACATACCTAGCCAGCGAATACCCTCCATAAGCATTTCAGTGCCTAAAACCCTTTCACTGGTCCTCTGAATGTGACGACGGCCCTTCGCCAGCTGTGTGGGTCTGCTGAATGTGTAATCTCATTACTCTACTCCTTTAATAAATGACTGTGAGGATCATAGGGTGGGACATTTGCGGCATGTCATTGTCATAGGGACTAATCAGATTAGCTTGAAGGTTTGGCCCCATTTGTGACAAACCGGATAGAAAGAGGTTTTCAAGCTGGTAGTCCTCTGAAATCAACTCCATCAAAATGAAAACAACAAAAACTGCCATAAAACAGCATATTCAACTAAATGCCCATCGTCAGAGACTGTGCTCAGATTTACACCAAAACTGGATGCTACAAGATTTTCTGAATGTGTAACTGCACATTAAATGCATTACATGAGTTCTGCTGTCTTGATTTACAGTCTAATAGTAAACAATTTTTATCTAAATGTAAACATTTTATATACATGAATACAAAAGATACACGTAGATGTGTGTACTATACATTACTGTGCAAAAACAAACTTTTATTTTGTATGCACTCCATCACGAATAATCATTTAACAGCACAAAGTATTTTTTTTCACATTTTCGTCATGTTTGAAAGTTTAAACTTGTCAGTTTCACTTGCCAACATGCATCTTCATTTACAAAAATTGCAAGCCTGGCATAATCTATCTATATTAATAATTTTCATAATATTAGAAAAATAACACAACAATATATAATGAGTTTGACAATAATATTGATATTTGTCTGTTCTCACATGTATGCACAATGTTTTGCTACAGTTTGTAAAATGATCGACCCTGAAAACGCTGTGCAGCAGGGTTTGAGATGCATTCTTTTGTTTAGCAGGTGTGTTGAGAATGCCCAATCAGCAGTAATGTATATAAATCATGCAATATTGAAGAGACAACACAATTAGGCTGGTTTTAAGGTTTACAGTTTGGAAAAGTCAAGGATTTAAAATTTGTTATCGTTTTTTTATATTTTTATTTTTTATGAATATTTTATTTAATTTTTTAAGGCAACAGTATCTCTAGTAGAAAAGGGCCACTTACATTCAAGAGCTACTGATCAGCCCATGAATCAGAAAACATTTGATAAACAATCGCTTATAAACCAACATTCAAGCGTGATCTGGACATAAATTGCAGTGTGTGTGTATATATATATATATATATATATATATATATATATATATATATATATATATATATATATATATATATATATATATATTAGGGATGTAACGGTATTGTAAATACCGTCATACCGCAATATTAATTTTTTTCGATATTACCGAAGTCGCATGACTCGGTAAAACTATAGGTCTTCTGAGAAAATTTGCTCAGGCGAATGAAGCGAACGGGAGGTAGCGAAAACTACAATACCCATCAGCCCATGCTTGACCATCATCCCTTGCGCTCTGTTGTCGCTACAGATCCAGTAATGCGGAAATGGAGTGTGCTGCTAGAAGCGGGGATAAAAAGAGCTGGAAAACTCTAAGGCCCCGTTTACACTAATGCGTTTTAGTTTGAAAACGCATAAGTTTTGCTACGGTTACGCCAACCGTCCACACTACGCCGGAGTTCTCGAGCGCCAAAAACGGAGCGTTTCGGAAAAGGGAAACATCTGAAAACGGAGGCGGGGCTGCAGACGTTCGCCTCTCTGATTGGGGCTTTTCCTGAATATTAAGTAGCCTAACACGCACAGTTCAGTCCTGCATCCTCTCCTTGTAAGTTCAGACTTCGCAAGTTTGATCAAGGCTGCAGTCTCTTCTTCTCAGTTTGATATGGAAAAGCAGACTATACCGAGGACACGGGTAAATCTTCAAAGGGAACAGTGTACTTTATAACTTCATTCACATCACCCTGGCTTCGTTGTTTCACTTTATCAACAATAAAATGTAAACATGATTTAAGGAACTGCCTATTTTCATTTTAATATTAGCAACTTAGACAGCAGACATGTTGAGGCGTTGTGCTGCATAAGATGAGCGTCATCTTCACTGTGTGGATATTTATAACAAAACGGAGCCGATAACAACTGCCTCCTTCCAATTTCAGTGAAAATACAAAACAGCCTCTCTTTTGCTGAGTATCAGTTTTAATAATCGATAATGGCCATTTTAAAAGTATAACATACAATAAGTTTATACATTATAGGAAATAAAGGCGATCAGTCAATATACAGAATGTACGTGCTTACATTAATCATTAACTTATCTTTGCGCTCAGCCAAAACACGTTACCTGAGAACAAGTAATAGATTCCAATGACCAAAGTCAGGGAATATGTCGTTAGATAAAGACAACAAGATGAATGAAATATCCCGTTTAATAAATATAGTGAGATTAGATCCAGCGGGAGATGCTTGATGAGAAGTCCGACTAGCAGAGCTCTCATCTGGGTAGATGGGCTGAGTGTGATTAAATGTTGAATGTGACGAGTTTTCAACAATACTAAATTGAAACTTTATTTTTTACATGGTTTAATATTTTTTTTGTTATTAAAATTGAAGTTCCTGTTTCAAAGCTTACAGATAGATGGCTAATTTGTATGTCATTGACACTTTTGGCACTTTTTTGGAGTATTTTCATAAGTTTTGTTTTTTCCTGTAAATGATTCAATAAATACCGTACCGTGACATTCATACCGAGGTATTACCGTACCGTGAAATTCTGATACCGTTACATCCCTAATATATATATATATATATATATATATATATATATATATATATATATATATATAGATAAGTCAGTGTTTTTGAGACTAATAAAGCAGATAGCAAAAGTCAATGATTTATTTGAATTATTTAGCCTGACATGTGTAATGTTCCAAAACACTTAAAATGTTTCTTAAAATAAAAATATAAATGTTCAATGGGGGAAAAGTAGTAGTTTATCCAGCCATTTAAAAAAAAAACACATATTTCAGAGCAGTAATCACAATACAGTAAAACCGTGATGTATTTATCCATAGTTATCATACAGTCTAGGGCTGCAGAATATATAATTTCAGCATCGATATTGCAATGTGTAAATCTGCAATAGTCACATCACAAGATTTACCTTGTCAAGTCAGGATTATTATAGTTAATCAGCACAACAGTTAGAACGTGATTTTTTGGGGGGCATCGCAGGTTTAAAACTAAAATGGAGTAAAACATTTTATTTGGCAGTATTAACTCTTCATAAAGAACAAAGAATGGCCTTCTCAGCTAACGTACTTGCTCTCTTGCATCATCAGAACAGGCTGGTCAACACCACCATTTCGGTTTAAAAAACGTTTTGCAGTGTTTGTTGAGATTGAATGCTTGAAAGCAAAACGTTACCAGGTAAGTGATTAAAAAAGGACAATTTCAATGTTTAGTAATGCAAAAAATCTTTGTGGGTAAGGAAACCTTTCTTTTGCTTCTGCACACACGCACACACAAACACACACACACTTTTTGTAACGGTGGGAAGGCAGGC